TACAGATAATGAAAGCAAAGACACTCAGGAATCAATCTGTATCTACAATGACTCTCCTGGGTCTCTAATGACTCTAACTCACATTTACTTAAAGGCTATTGAAAAAAGTCCATTTTATCCTAGGAACCACTGATAACTGAACGCAACTGCTTCTAGTATGACTTTAGTTAATACCTTTTGTTAAATGCTTGAAATAAAAGAGATTGAGGCTCTACTCAAATAAACAGGAACCACTATCAGTGAAGATGCCAGGAAATGGGAATTATATGTACTGTCATATTTTTCTATGGGGACTACAAAAGTAACTTTCTTCACAGTGTAAATGGAAGCTTAACTACACCCAGATAGCAGACTGATAGTGCATTCCTTGAAGCCAATTCTAAGATTCTTTTTTTTAAAGAATAGTTTATTGATTTTTTTTTAAAGAGAGAGAGGGAGAAGAGAGAAACTCGATGTGAGAACATAACAGCAATAGGCTGCCTCATGCATTCCCCCAACCAGGGGATCAAATCTGCAACCTGAGCATGTGCCCTGACCAGGAATCGACCCAGCAACCCTTCGGTACACAGGACCACACCCAACCACCTAAGTCACACTGGCCAGGCCCAATTCTAAGATTCTTTTTAAATTTTTTTTAACATATTTTTATTGATTTTAGAGAGGAAGGAGAGGGTGAGAGAGAAAGATCAATGATCAGAGAGAATCACTGATTGCCTCCTGCACACCCTCTTTTGGGGACTGAGCCCCTAACCTGGGCATGTCCCAACCAGGAAATCGAACTATGACCTTCTGGTTCATAGGTTGACACTGAACCACTGAGCCACACCGGCTGGGCCAATTCTAAGATTCTTAAATGCCATTTATGTCCCAGCCAGGTAGCTCAGTTGTCCTGATAGGCCAAGGTTGCGGGTTTGATATGAAGCAGGGTGCATAAAAATATCAACCAATGAAGGCATAAATAAGTGGAACAAAAAATTGATGTTTCTCTTTCTCTCCCTTCCTCTCTCAAATCAATCAATCAATCAAAAATAAAATTTTAAAAATTTATGCCTGGGAGCCAAATTTCCTATTGGAATACAACTCTGAAATCACAATGGGAATAGAAAAGTTATATAATTTGGCATATGCATTTCATTTTATAAACAACTTTTCAGAAGTGCATCTAATGCATATATTAAAAGTTAATCTATACTCAGTAAAACTGTCAATAAAAAAAACAAACTTAAAAATAAATCCCCTCCCAAGGATATATATTTTCTTTTTATTCTAGAGAGGAAGGGAAACATTAATGTGAGAGTGAAACATCGATCTGTTGCCTCCCACATGTGCCCTGACTGGGGATTGAACCCACAACCTGGGTATATGCTCAGACCGGGAATCGAACCCAATACCTTTCTGCACATGGAACAATACTCTAATCACTGAGCTACACCAGCCAGGGCAATATAAATCTTAAAGGAAGAACTGGCAAAGTACTGTATCAAACACACAAGAAGCTCCCAATAAATTCTGGCTGAATAAGACAAGAGGGAATTAGCTATCAGGACAAGGAACCCTAAAAATAGTGAGGGTTCTAAGAACACTCAGAAGCTAACTATGATCAACTCTCAATTTAAATGGTCAGAAAGGGGTTTTAAAAAGCAACAACAGGCCCGACCAGTGATACAGTGATTAAACATCAACCTATGACCCAGGAGGTCACCATTCAATTCCCAGTCAGGGCACATGCTTGTGTTGTGAGCTTGATCCCCAGTAAGGGGTGTGCAGGAGGCAGTGGATCGATGATTCTCATCACTGATGTTTCTCTTTCTCCCTCTACCTTCCTCTCTGAAATCAATAAAAACATTAAAAAAAAAAAAAGCAGCAACTGGTGACTACTAATACCCAACATTCTAATATAGTGTACAAGGCCCATGTACTTGTGCAGGGCTTAGCTCAAGAAACCCCAAGTTCTGGGTGGGTGCGGAGAGGAGGGCAGGCAAGAGCTGTCTGCAGAACAAATCTCACATGCTATGCGATTATGGTAACATTTGGGATTCAGAAAGGAGAAGCTGGAAGTGTACATTAGAGTTACATGGAATAACTATTCCCACTATATTTCCACTTTTTTGTTCAAGGGTATAACAACAAAATAAGGGAAAAATATACATATGTACCACACCATTTAAAACAAGTATCTCATCCATGCTTGGTTAAGCCACGGGATTTGTGGTCACGACTTTTTCACAGAGGACTTGTCTCCTGGACTCAACAGGAGTTCAGCAAAGTCCATGCAAAGGCTGCTCCTGCTGGGACACCCTCCCTGCTGGGTGGAGTGGGAAGTGAATCCAAGACCAAGCCCTCTACTTCACTGGGAAACCGACCCTCTGCCCCCACCATCTGCTCTGAATGACCATATACTGTACTAATCTACTACTCTTCAAGCTCTGAAAACACAAGAGGTCCAGACAGAAACAAAATGATGCAACAAGGAGGAAACATGTTTACAGCTGAAGCCAATTACACTCTCAGTACAGCCTGTCCTGACAGAGCAATCGTCCAACCAACAGAGAACCAGCATCTCCACAATACAGCAACCCCCTCCCATGGGAAGAGGGCTGTGGCCACCGTTTCCCATCTCCAGAGCTTCTGCCTGAAAGCATTTTGGTATCAAATATCACTAATATTTAACTATACTCTGTAGACAGAGCGTGACATTTGAGCTCAGGGTAAATAAGGCATCTGTTCATTGCCAGAGGAATTCAAAGTTAGACCTGCTGGGAATAGGCAGATTTGGAGCCACGTGACGATGGTTTTTACTGATGTGGAAGATGTTGTTTATCAGACACTCTGCAATCTTGGTGAAGCGTTCTGGGTCAGGAATGCATAAAGCCTACCCTCCCTCTTCTTAAGCTGTTACAAGGAACTCTATGTGGTGATGTGCCCAAGGTCACAAGGCAAGTGGCAGAACCAAGGATAGAACTCAGAAGAGCAGCTCTCTGACACACCAGGCTGCAGTCTGGCAGGAAGCCATCCAGTACTCCAACACAGAGGAAGGAGGAGCAGCTGTGCTCTGGAGCACAGTTACACTTGGCTGCTCTGAGCCCTCAGCTCCCCTCTTTCTTCTGTGCTCTCTGGAGGCCCCATGAAGATCCCCAAATGGAAACAACATGCTTCAAAGGGACTGAGGATGCACATGTGCCGTCGTGCCACCTTACCGGTGCTTGTGCTGGTGATGCCATTCACTGTCCCCTCCACGTCAGTCTCATCCTCAGCATAGCTCAGGATCAGGTTGTGTTGCCGGCTTGTCAGTCTCCTGTGGAGCAAGTACAGTCAGTGTCAAGTGTTTCCTCTGGGCAGCTCTTTGAAGGATGAGGCCTAGGCTAGTGTAGGAAATGTGGGACCCCCACCCAGACAGAGCGTACAGCCTGACCTGAAGAACCACATCCTCAAAGCTTCTGTAAAAAAAAATCTCCTAAAATACCCTAAGTGTTTCAAACAACTGCCTCTATGGCTGTACTAAATAGTTTACTGGGGCGGGCCAAGGAGCTTTAGAGAGAGAGAGAGAGAAAGAGAGAGAGAGAGAGACAGAGAGAGAGAGAGAGAGAGAGAGGAGGAGGCAGACGGGGATAAAAAATGGGTCTATACATAGAGAGAGAGAGAGAGAAAGAGAGCGAGAGAGAGAGAGAGAGAGAGAGAGAGAGAGAGAGAGAGAGAGAGAGTGTGCGTGTGTGTTTGTGTGTGTGTGTGTGTGTGTGTGTAATTAAAAGGAGTGCTGGCAACCTAGTTCTCCCCAACAGAGTCAGCATGCCTGTTCTGGATGCCCACAGCATTCTGCTTGGATCTTTCTTCCAGAGGATGTGGGCGTCCTGGGCCATGATCTGGTTACACATCTGTTTCTCCCACCAGAATGTGAGCACCCTGAGAGCAATAATAATAAGCAACAGCAGCAATAGCTAAGCATTCCCTATGTATTATTTATTTAATTCTCCAACTCAAGGAGGTCAACCTTTTTCATTATGTCCACTTTGCAGATGGAAAACCTGGGCAGGACACACTGACTTAAAGAAGTAGCCTGCCCAAGCCCCAGCACTGTGGTGGTGCTAAACCACCACACTGTCACACTCAGCATAGGACCTGGCACGTAAAAGGCCCTCAGATGGCCCTCGCTTGATGGTGAAAGTGTGCAGGGATCCCGCCGGTCTTGCCATGGCTAAGTGGGCGCTTACTTTGGAACTCTTATCTTGATGTGAATGTAGTGATCTCCGTAGCCATAACTGTTGATCCGAGGGATGCCTTTCCCACTCATCCGAATCTTCTGGTCTGCCTGGACCCCAGGGGGGATCTACAAGGAAAAGAAGCCTGTGGTTTTCCTCGCTCCAGTTGCCCACTTGGGTTTCTAGACAGAGCCCACCACCAACAACATGAAAACTGGCTAAGCTGGGTCCACCCTGAGCAGAGCCAGTAATAAGGATATAGGGGCAGGTGACCGGGGCAGTGAGCCAAGGGAGGGAGCACGGAGAGCCAGACCTCAGAGGCAAAGCCAATACAGAAGTGTACTACCGAAGCTGCTCCCTGGCTCAGCAGAGGAGGGAATGGGACTTCAGAACCGCTGTCCCTGGTGATGACACCATCAAGGCCCAGAGTTTGTGACTCAAACTCAAGGAATGGCCAGACACTCCTCCTGTCTCCCCCAAATTTCATTTCCCCTGAATCCCTGACATGTTGGTTGTTTACAGGTTCTAGCCACTTGTCAGCCATTTTCCATTTCAAGGTAAAAAAAAAAAAAGAAGCAATGAAGTAGGAGGGCGGTGAAGACAATTTTGCCCCTTACCGTCACATTGATTGTCTCGTACAGGCCTTGGGCTCTGGCTGTGCCCCCAAGAAGAGCCTGAGCTATGGAAATAAAGAGGTCAGAGTGGATGTCTGCGCCGTCCCTCCGAAACACGGGGCTTTTCTCCACCTAGGGTCAAACACAGGAGATGGGCATTATACACAGAGGCCTTCTGGACAACATCGGCCTGTGTCAGCAGCCCGAGCCCAGGGCCTAACATGCGTTACGCTGCCTCTATGCTTGGGGTGTAGCATGAGGAGGAGAGCATACTCACCAAAGTGGAGCACTATACCAGGTTACACAGATTCATTTCTATACTGTAATGCCAGAGTGCCTACATTTCCTCAGGCTCAGAGCAAACCATTCAAGTATGAACAGAAATAAAGTAAAACTGGCTTATTGAACATTAAAAAAAAAATCTTACTTTACTAGAAAGAGGAACACAGACTAATAAATCTATAAAGGCAAAAATGGTTTTCCAAATGGTCATTTGGCACAAACTACCGTTAGACAGCTGTCAACACTAGAATTATTTTGATTTTGTAAGTACTGTTTTTGGGTGTGTGTGTTAAATTTAAAATACTTTTACTGATTTCAGAGAGAAAGGGAGAGGGAGAGAAAGATAGAAACACCAATGATGAGAGAATCATTGATTAGCCGCCTCCTGTACACCCCCTATGGGGGATCGAGCCCATAACCCGGGCATGTACCCTGACCAGGAATCGAACCATGACCTCCTGGTTCAGAGGTCATGAACTGAGCAACACTGGTCAGACTACCAAACTTGTCTTATCTATTGGCTTCCAACTTGCTGTCTTTGTCTTTCTCAGTCTAGAATATTCACCCTTTAGATTAGTTTTGTCTGTTTTAAATTATGAAATATTTCACATGTATATAAAGTACAAAGTAAATAACATAATACTACAAATAAGATGTTATGAACGCAGGTGAAGTCTCCTTGCTTCCTCCTCACCTCTCCAGAGTTAACTACATTGCTGAATTTAGTATTTATCATTCCTACAAGCATCTTTTAACTTCTACAACATACTTACATGTCCTTATTATATTACATCATCTCAAGTGGTTTAAAAAGTTATATAAATTATCTTCCTTACACCCTCTTGCAACCTTTCTTTCCCTCCTCTTTGTAACTGAGAAGTCTTGTTACACATGTGGCTCAGTTTCTTCCTTCTGACTGCTCTTCAGTTGTCTGCAACCACAGAGCAGTTCAACTCAAGCAGAGTTGTCTCTTCTCTAAGGACAGAGGGTTGTCGTGTCTTGCTACAATGAATGAGGCAGTCACACACACCTTGTGCCTCTGCCTGCTGCACCTGTGTGGGAGTTTCTCAGTTGTGTAGCTAGTGGAATTGCCAGTAGAAGCCATTATCTCCTATAAGGTTTCCCTTATCTCAGAAAACCAGGTTTGCCCTTGTATATAGTGGGTAAAACTGTACCTTTGAGACGTACTGTCCCTACCAACAATTTGATACATAAGTAAAAACACAAGATGTTTTCTGTATTTTTATGTTGTTGTTGTTTTTTGTTTCCAACTTATAAATATCTTAAAGCAACTCTATTCTCTCCACACCTCCGCACAAAAGATTGATGATAACACATTTAATAACCCCACCAAGGTGGCCACTGCTCTCCTTGGACTCGGATGGCAGGACGTATCCCATGAAGCTCCCACTTCTCCATGAGAAGCCTCGGCTGCACTTTCTCCATGACAGTCAGGCCCAACAGAGGCTGTGCAAGCAGAGCACCTACCCTGAACGTGATGAAAATTTCTCTTTTTCCTACAGGCATCCTCACAGTCTGGCCATCCTCAACTCCTGCGAGTGAGAACAAAAGTTCAAAAAAGAATGATTATTTGGAGATCTCCCATGGCATTTTCCACTCAAGATTCAAGCCACTGAAAGCCTTCCTCATTCCTGTTTCTTATTAATGAGAACACCAGTTATTCAATATGGCAACAAGTACTTTTCAACATTGCCCCATACAATAACTCATAAC